TCCCCCGGAATCCCCGGGGCCCTTGGGGCCCTGGGGCAGCGCCTAGCTCGCGGCCTTCCTGGGGGAGGGGATGCTGGCGGGGCGGCCCTTGGAAATGCAGATGAGTCGCCTGCTGCTGCTGCTGCTGCTGCTGCTCGCCCCGGCTGAACCTTGCGTGACTCACCCCCCCCCAGCACACAACACACCCCAACCCATTCCTGCGTGAGGGCCGCCTTGGCAGCTGTGAAAGGGGGGTGGCATTTGCGAGCTCTTTCTAGGACACTGACAGGTCTGTACTTGGACAGTCACATTCTCTGGCCACAGCCTGAGGGCTGCCCTGACAGGCCTTTCACATTCTTTCCCCAGTTTCTTGACCGGAGAAGGGCCAACAGCCGGGTACCTGCAGAGTGGACAACCCTTCCTTCTCTTGGACAGCTGGAGCAGGCCTAGTTTGACAACCCTTCCATCAAAGGTAGGTGACAGCCCAGTGCCAAAGCTGGGCGGGCGACTGGGGAGCTCTGGCCTGCACCCCAGGGGAGGGTGGCTTGTCCCCAAACCTGCTGGGCTGGTTCTGCGGCCCCTCCCCCACACAGATGTGGCGGCTGTGTGTGAGCTGTGTGTGTGAAATCGGCGGCCTGCTGGGTCCCTTCAGCCCCCGCCTGTCAGCTTCTGTTGTCAAGCATTTAGGGAGGGCAATTCTCTGCCGAATTTAGCTGCTTACTAGAGGCCGGCTGGCAAGTATTTCCCAGTGGCGCGTTTTTGGGGTAGGGCAAGGCGGGACTCCGGTGCCGCCTCCTGAAAGGCACAGCCCTCTCTTCCGGCCCCCAGTGAGGCCGTTTGGGGTGACTAGCGCAACCACCTCAATGTCTGGCTGCTGGAGAAGCAAAGAACACAAGAAGCCGAGATCTGGGCCAGCTTTCCTGGAGAAAGAGGTTTCCTTGACCTCCCCCGTCCTGGGATTCCCAAGTTTCTCTTGCCTCCCCAAATGGGCTGGCGCGCGTGGCCTGGTTTCGATAATCACACAAGCCGGCCTGTGAAACCTTAGCTGGCTTCGACCAGCTGTGACCTTGCATTAGCTGCCTGGGCTCGTGAGCCCAGCTTCCTCATCCACAAAATGGACGGGGAAGTGGCTTTCTCCGACTCCAAGCCGGCATCAGAGTCCATCTCATGAGACCGTCCCAGGCCCTGAGTTCTTGGTTTTCAGCAGGTGGAACCTGAGAACTTGGCTTTCACCCCTTTGGGCTGGGTGTTAGGTGCAGGCACTTAGCAGTGGCTTCCCGGCCCACGTGGCTCTTGTTCTAACACAAGGCGACCTCCCGGAGCTGGCCCTCTTGTCAGGAAGCTCCGCAGCTGGAGACCGTGTGGCCCTTGATCTTCGCCCCCGTCCCCCGAGAGCCCTAGTTGGCAATTACTTCGATAAGCCATTTGGGGCCAGGTGCCGCCCATTGCGCTGCTGTCCTGCCCCCTCCGCAGGGTGAGCGCCGAGCTGCGACCTGGGGGAGCCGGGTAGACTTTATGGAAAGCACCTGGGTACTCGACCCAGGGGGCCTAAGTCTGGCTGCCCCGTGGAATGTGGCTGGTGCCAGTGACCTTGGGCGGTGTCTCCCCGAAAATGACGGGTGGTGACTGGAGAGGGCGGTGGAGGATTAAGTGCGATTACGGGGCAGCCTCCCAGCGGCTGTGCTCCGAACCTCCTTTGTGAGCTTGCGGCGCTGGGAGTGGCCGCGGGTGGGGGCTGGGCTGTCACCGGAGCTCCTCCCCGACCATCCCCTCCCGTAGCACGTGGCCCGGCCTCCGGGCAGGGGGGAGGGGCTGGCAGCCTGCTCGGCTCCTCCGGAGTAGTCGGAGTCGGGCTGCTTTGGGGTCCACTCTTGGCTACAAAGAAGTGACTCGGGTCACGAGGCCACCAGCGGCAGGATGAGCTCCAGGTGTCCTGACTTGCAGCCTGGCGCCTGGGCCCTTAGCACCCCCTACCCCCCCCCCCCAGCTGTCTAGGTTATTTTGGGTTGCCCCGTCTGGGCCAGCTGTCTCTTGGCAACCCTGCCCGAGAGCTGTGAGGTTGGAAGTAGCCTGCGCTGTGCTGTTGGCTCCCAGCCGGGTCCCCAGTGACCAGTGTCCTTTGCTAAAGAAAAGGTGCGCCCCACTGCGTTCCCGCGCCAGGGAGGGAAGAGCTTGAAGCAGGCCCGCTCCTGGTGCCCACAGACCTCTGCTGCTTCTTGGTGGGCGACCTCGCCAAATTCGTCCGCTGCCGGGGGGTGCGTGGCCAGGGTAGAGCCCGGGGTGTGGGGCTTTACCTCCTCGCGCATGCGCTCTTGGGCGATTGTTTTTCTTCCCCTCCCAGGCTGAAGGATTGGCTTAAGTCTCCAACCTGGAGGGGATAAGTGTCGGGTCCTACTTGGAAGCCTGTCCCTGCTTGCGGCTCTGTGACCGCCCGCCTCTCTGTTCCTGTCTCCCCTCCCCCCTCGTGTCCTGGGGCCTTGAGGGAGGCGAGGTTTGTCCCGTTGTTCCGCCTCCTGACCCCGGTGGGGGGACACCCAGCCCGGGGCGGGGCTGCTGTGGCCTGCAGGGAGCCGGCCACGCCAGCGGAAGGGCGGAGGGCTGGGAGGTGGCCTGACCAGCTTTACTACAGAGCCGAGGGAGTCTCCGCCCCTTCCGGCACCTCCAGTTGGAGCCCAAGCATGGAATTTGACTTTTATTTAGGACTCTGTGGGTAGGGGCGGCGCCTGCTGCCTGGACCTAGGAGAGGCGACCAAGTGCTATTGAGTCACCTGCCCTGTGCTTTCTCCAGCGGCCTGTGATCCCAGCAAGCTCCTGCTGGTGGGGCGGGAGAAGATGGGTGCTCACCTCTGAGCAAAGCTCTTGCCTTGTTACCCATGGCACGAACTCCTGGTGTCACTGTCGACTCAGCCCCTGAGTGCTCGGTCAGGAGGGACCTAGGAGATGAGTGGCCTGGTCTCCCTCCTGGGGCCTTCAAGGGACAGCTTGGGGTGTTGAGGCACCTGTGTGGTGCCTGGGGCTAGGGTCTTTTTTCTCTCACCAGCTGGGCAAATGGTTAAATAATTGACTTATGGTTTCAACATCCACAGAAGTGGTTGTCTGGTTGTCATAAGCCATGCCATGACCTGGGCTGGTAGGACTTTGCCCTGTTTCTCCTCCAGCTCACTGTCCCTCGTGGCCTCCCTGTTGTGGCACAGGCCACCCTGCAAAGGCCACCTGGCAGCTCCATGAGGTTCCTCTGTCCCAGCAGATCTCATGGTAGGAAGCAGCCCACGATACCTGGCCTCTCAGGACCCCGACATGAGCAAGAGCCGGGTGAGGGTCCCCAGGGACCCTTGCTGCTCCCTCGCTGGTGGGGCCTCTGAGGAAGCGTGAAGCAGCTGCCTGGGCTCCTGGGTATTTTTAGCTATGGATTTAGCCTCACCATCAGCATGGGAGCCAGGTCCAAGTCAAACACGATCCAGGCCCGAGGGCACTGGGGTTTTGCCAGCCTCCTGGCCAGGCTGCCTGGGTGGGTGGGCCAGTAGGCTGGGGCCAGTGGCAGCTGTTCTGCCTGCACCCGGCCACAGTGCTGCTTTCACTTGTCTTTGCCTTTGGTTTCAAGCAGCTCGATGTCACATAGCACATAGTCCATTTCTCAGGTGAAGAAAGTGGAAACTGAGGATCAAGGGATTTTTTTTTTTTTTTTTTTTTAAACTGGAGCCAAGGTCTCACTAAATAGCCCAGGCTGGCCTGGAACTCCTGGCAATCCTCACGCCTTGGCCTCTGGAGTGCTGGGTTTACTGGCATGTGCTAGGGCACCTGGCAGTGTCAGGGTGGGGAGGAAAGTCAGGCATGCTCCTGTCCCTGTCCCTCCCTAAGCTTCTGGTCCTGAGTGCACAGCCTGAGGCTAGCCGCAAAGGTAAGTGCTTTGCACCTCTTCCTGAGCCTTCTGTGGGGCTGTGGTCTTACAGGGTTCACACCTCCACAACTCCCTGCACACTGCTGCCCCCGAGGCTCTGAGCTCTGGGCAGGCAGGAACAGTTGCTTCTCAATAAACATGTTGCAAAAAAAGGAAGAGGATGGCTGTGTATTTATTTAGGGGTCCTTGACCTAGAAGATTCGAGGCCCAGCAACATGAGAGTTCCCCCACCTAAGAATCTGACCTCTGCTTCCCCACTCGGCTGTTGCCTGGGGTTTCCACGAGCAGTCACGGCTGCTCTCTGGCGGCCATACGATGTCTTGCACCTTCTGGGGAAAACGACTTGGCATTTACAAAACTGCCAGGTTGGCAATTTGCTCCACAAAGTGAAATCTGCTCGACGCTTGCTAAGAACTTGAAAATTAGGAGCCGCTGGGATCAAGAGAAAAAAGATCCTGGGTCCTGGCAGCTACCACCACGCTGCGGATAGGATTTTACTAGAAATGAGCTTTACCTACCCCAACCAGGAGGCTACACTCATCCACCCATGGCCTGGTGCCTGTCTACTGTGGGTAGCTCCAGGGGACCCCCTGCCACCACCAAAGTGTACAGGCAGCTTGGGTAGGGCAGTTGGCCCAGGGTAATGGAAGAGAAGGGGCAAAGAGCGCAACTAGTCCCGGCATGGAGTGAACACCTAGAGCTGTTCAAGGGAGTTGAGGGGCTCCTAAGATAAAGGTCCTATGAGAGGAATCTTAGCATGGAGTGGGGTTACCAGTGTCCCCAGGCTGCGTGGAGAGGACCTGGGGACCTCAGCTGATGCCCCTGCCTCTTGTTGAGTTCACACCTCTGGTCCTGCTCAGAGGCTGCCACTCCCCGTGGTTAATGGTTTGGGGCCAACCTTCGGCCGCCAGCAGAGGGCGCCGCCTCCCATCCTCCTGCTGGGTAGGTCGAAGGAGGGCAGTGAACTGGAACCTGGTTCCCTTTCCCCGGCCGGCACAGCATGGAAAAAGGGCCCATCGTGGGGGCCAGACCCCCCGCTCCCCGAGTCTGCATCTTCTCAAGCACTATGGTAGCTAGCTACATCTTACGGGGAAACAGGCCCAAGGGCTGAACTACGCCGAGTCACACAACCAGGACAGGACAGAACTGAAGACTACATTCGCAGCTCGAGATCCGGACTCGAACACTGGTGCAGGGTGCGGGATGAGTTGGCCAATCGGGGCCCCCCTAGGGGGCGGAGCCAGCCGGTGAGGGGCCCCGTAAAACGGTCCGGCGTTACCGGCAGAGACTCGGCGCGATGCAAGCGGCGGGTTGGGCGTGGGGGCTGCGCTGGCCGCCGGAGCGGTGTCTCCAACGCTGCGAGCTGAACCCCTAAGGCGCAGAGCCCGCGGCTCCGGCAGGCGGGAGGTGGCCCCGGAGGCTGCCCGGAGGAGGCGGCCCGGTGGAGGTGGGGCCTGCGTGACTCCGCCCCGCAGCTCACCCGGCCCGGCGCAGCGCGGCGCTGCCCGCAGTGCTGCCGGCTCCGGGCGATGGACGTCCCCGCCGCCCCGGCCCCTGCCGCCCCGGGCCCCGGCAGGAAGGAGCTGAAGATCGTGATCGTGGGGGACGGCGGCTGCGGCAAGACGTCGCTGCTCATGGTGTTCAGCCAGGGCGCCTTTCCCGAGGTGAGGCCGCTGCCGCGGAGGGCTGGGCTGGGGTCGCAGGTGGGTGACCAGCACCCCTTGGATAGCGCCTGGGTTGAGCCCTGGGTGCCTGGGCCCCTCGCCGGAATCCCTGCGCCCAGCGGGTTGGGGGGCTGAGCTGGACAGGTGTGGGTGACCTGCATGGGGAGCAGGGACCCCTGCTTCCCGCTGCTGGAGCCTGACCCAGCCTCTTGCCCCACAGCACTACGCCCCCTCGGTGTTTGAGAAATACTCGGCTAGCGTGACGGTGGGCAGTAAGGAGGTGACTCTGAACCTTTACGACACGGCCGGTGAGTGTGCGCCCGTCGCTGGGCACCCCTGCCCCTCGAGCCAGGAGGCCGGAGGACTGACCCGGGCTGCATCTGTAAACTGAAGGGACTCGCCGGCCAGCTTTCTGCTGTTAGCTGCTGAGGCCTGGCTTGCTCCTCCCTGGTAGCACTAGAAAGAGTGGGCTGTGCCCCCGCTCCCAAGCTGGGCTCCAGTATTGCCCCTCGCCTTGTGGGCCACAGGCTCTGCAGGCCCCAGGGCTGTGGACTGAGTCTTCCCAGGATGAGGGCTCAGTGACTGGCAGTAAGTTCTGTGTCTGAGGCACAGGGCACCTGTGCCCTGGTTTTTGGGGTCCCCTGCATTTCCTGTCACCTATGTACAATCCCATAGCTGAGCTTAGCCTGGTCTCTGAAAACTAGACAACACAGAGAAAGCTGGGTGTGGTGGCACACACCTATAACCCTAGTGCTTGGGAAGCTGAGGCAGGATAGCTGAGCTAGGTAGCTACATAGTGAGATCTTGTCTCAAAAAAATAAAGAGCCAGGCATGGTGGCCCACGCCTGAGATCCACAGCACTCCGGAGGCTGAGGCAGAGGGGAAGACTGAGGCAGTAGGAACTGTGAGTTCAAAGCCAGCCAGAAATACATAGTGAGATCTCGTTTCTAGATGAATAAATATGACTAATAAAAATGAAGATGAAAGCAGGGAGGGAGGGAGGGAGGGCTAGGAAACAGACCAAAATATGTTTCTGTGTCCACCTACAGCTCGTCACCAAGGAGAGTTAGGCCAGTGTGCCAGCCCTTCCTGGGGGCTGTGCTATGAGGGGGGAGAAACACTAGGAAGACCCTGGTCCCTTGTGGGCATCACACCTTGGGGACAAAGGTCAGGAGCCCCAGGTAGATCCTCACACAGCTCTGTGACTCAGTGTTTAGTGACAGGGTGGAGCGTCCAGCCGTCCCCTCCCCCACTAGCCCAGCCTGTGCCTCCTTCACTGCTGTCCCACTCTCCCAGGCCCAAATGGTGGTACCCTGCCAGGCCCCATACAGGGGTACCTGATGATGCCCCTGTGGGTAGGGCCCCAAAGGGCTGCCCCAGAGCACAGCCCACAGCCTGAGGGGAGCTGGGAAAGCCCAGGACTGCCCAGGAAGTCCCCAGGCATGGCCAGTCCCCAGAAGCAGAGTTCTGTGGGGACACTTTCATTTTTACACACACCTTGTCCTGGAGCCTGAGATGGGAGGGCCATTCCCCCACGTGAAGGAGCACAGCTGGTGTGGCCACCCAGGACCCGGGAGAGCCAGGGATATGGGCTGTCCCCCTCTCAGCCCTCCAGCTGCTCCAATCCCCAGCCGGGTCCCTGTGTATGTCTCCTTCAGGCTGAGAGATGCTTCTGGGGTGAAGGATGAGAGGGCCTGCTACCAGTCCCCAGAGCTGCTGCTTTAAAGGGAGTTTGTTCTGGAGCCTGTGTCAGGAATGGAGGGATTCCTTGGGTGATCCCCAAAAGCAGGGATGAGCCTGTCCCCCTCCCCAACCCTGTGGCTTGCTTAGATCCCAGACCCATTAGGGACAGCTGAGCCTCACTCTCCTCACCAGAGCTACCGGATCCAGGGTGGGCTGGCAGGGGCCTCTGAGGTATTTTGTGATTTTGCTACCCTTGCTAGGGATGAGACCCAGGGCCTCGTATATACTGGACACACAATGGTACCACACAGACCTTTACCCAGCCATGCTGTGGCTTATGGTTTATTTATTTACTCAGGGCTTTTGGAGAAAGCATCTGGCTGCCTAGTGCAGATTGCCCTGGACCCTCCTGCCTCATCCGCCGAGCTGGGATTGAGGTGCACTGCCCTGCCAGCCCTGAGCCCCTATGCAGTGGGCACCAGATTTCCCAGCAGGAATCAGCCCTGAGGCCGAATGAATGGCACAGCTGGCAAAGGTTTTATTGAGGCACTTTGTAGTAGATGCAATGACTGAGGAGGGACACTGAGATGAGGGGACTGTGACCGAGGAATCCCTAGACTTGGGAAACTCCTTGGGCAAGCAACTCCTGAGGGCCTGGGTCATCCCAGTACATGCCAGAGAGTGCAGCTAGGAAGTGGCTGTGGGATATGGGGGTGACTCATGGGATGGAAGGACAACCTGGTGGCCCTCTAGGATGAGCGCAAGGGCCAGGCTACAGTCCAGCCAGACAGGGATGTAGAAACTTCTAGGACCTTCTGACCCATGCCTAGCCAGCAGTGAGTGTAGCTGTGGGACTGTGGTGGCTCAGGACAGCCCTGACAGGCCCGTGTCCCCAAAGCCAGGCTGGAGGCACATGGTGGCCACCTTCCTGCGGAAGCTGCTGCAGACACACAGCATCTGCCATGGGCTTAGCTCAGAGGTAGAGGGAGCCAGGCCTGACAGATCCTGAGGCCGGAAGCTGCGGTGAGGCCCAGACTAGGGTGAGGGCTTCAGACACCCACACACTGAGCTCATCAAGCCTGGGGTGTATGGGTGGGAGACAAAGGTCCCCTTGCAGCCCCAGGTGACTGCAGGGAGAGGAGGCAGAGGTGTCATTCACACACAGAACCAGGGCAGGACAGGCAGAGAGAGGCCTGGGTGGCATCGTGGTCTCTAAGGGAGGAAGCACAGGTGGGTGACCCCCACCCCCCCACTGCCCCCCACCCTGCTGGTGACAGCGGCTTCCTCTTCAGTTGCTTCCCCTTCTCACAGTTGCACCCCTCCTCTGAGCCACACCCCAGCCTGGGCTGGGAACCACTGTGGCCACGTGATACACTTCAGCTCTGCTCTCGGTCTTGGGGACCTCCCCCCCAAGAGAGGGCTACAGAGATGGAGCCCCACCACAAAGGAAATCCCCAGGTGGGGTGAGCTTCACTTCCGCCTCTGCACGGCCCCACCCACCACAGGAAGATGGGCAGCTCCGGAGCCTGGATCTAGACTCCCCTCCACCCCCAGGCACAGGCATCCTCTGTACGGATCACCCAGTTGGTATTTATTGACTGCGTAGGTCTTTTGGAGACAGGGTCTTTGTAGCCCAGGCTGGCCTCAAGCTGAAGAGATCCTCCTGAGTGGGGAGGGGATCACAGGCATACCTCACCCGGCCCAGCTGTGGCCTCCAGGCCTTTTATTAACTAGCTCAGGCAGCGTTACACAATCCATTTCCCAAAAAAAGAGACTAGGGTAAGAAAGTGCCTGGATCCCGAGTTGTGGGTCAGAACTGTGGGGGGCTCTCCTGACCTGGGCACCAGTGTCTCCAGGGCATCCAAACCCTCCAGGGAGGCACAGAACTGCAGAACCTGTGGGACCGAGGACCCAAGGGCAGAGTCCGGCCAGGGATAGGCAGGGAGGCAGGATGAGCGCTGTTCCCCAGTTCTTCCTGGGGCACACCTGCAGGAAGGCAGCTCTATAGCGCTGCCCTTTAGTTGTGTGCCTTGGGCGTCCCTTTACCTCATGCTTTGGAGCCTGCATGACAGGATGCAGGCAGAGGGCCCCTGCTCACAGCCTGGGGAGGAGTGTCGCAGATTCACCGTCTTCATCTTCATCTGTTGTTTTTCGGGGGGCTGGGGATGGAATCCAGGGCCTCAAGTGCACTGGCAGGAGCTACACCCCAGGGCTACGGCCCCAGCCCCACCTTGTTTCATTTTGAGCTAGGATCTAAGTTACCCAGGCCAGCCTTGGACTTGTATCATCCTGCCTCAGCCTCCCAGAGAGTTGGACTGTACCCTGGCTAACCAAGAAGCCCCACCCGTGTTTCACATCCATTTACTGATGAGACAAGGCCAGGAGTTGATTCCTATGGGGAAGGCTCTTTGGGAGAACTTGAACTGTTCTTTCTCCTTTTTGTCCTTATAGTGCTAGGGATTGAACCCTGAGCTACATCCCCGACCCAGTTCTTCATTTTGCATTGAGAGGGTCTCACAAGGTCACTAAACTGCCCATGCTGGGCTTGAAGTTGCGGCCCTCCTGCCTCAGCCTCCGCCATGTCTGGCTGAGCTGTGCTTTGGGAGCAGCCTGGCTGGCAGTGACCTTGCGCTAAGAACCAGCTGGTGCCGCCGTCACAGGTGCCCATCTGACCTTGACACCCCTCTCACTCGGGCTCCTCCCCAGAAGGTTCCTGCTGGGCACCCCACACGCACACACACTGCTGCTGGGTCATAGGCCAGGAAGTAAGGGGCCGCTGGAGCAAGCACTGAGGGGCAGAGCCCACACACTTCATTCACCCCGCGTCTGTTCCTCCGCCCCCCATGTTCTGAACTCTCCTGTGTTCCAGGGAGGCAGCAGTGCCCTGCACAGAGGTGGCCCTGGCCTCGGGGAGAGGAACAAAGGCCAGAAAAAGGACCACGGGTGGCAGCATGTGCCTGCGAACACCATAAACCCAGGCTCACGGGACAGGCTGCTGAACTGTTTGTGGGCGTCAGAAAGGGACGCCTGGAGGTCACCTTCCCACAGAGACCTGCAGGGACTCAGGGAGCGAACTAGGCTGCTCCCTGGCTGTCCAAGGGGCCCGAGGAAGAGGAACAGCTAGCCAGCCTGAAATTCCATACCCTGGAGGCTGAGGCAGAAAACCCCGTCTCAAAATAAAAACAGGGCTGGGACTGTAGCTCAGTGTGAAGGCCCTGGTTCAGTCTCCAGGATACCAAAACAACAACAACAACAACAAAACAACAGCTGAGCATAGTGGTGCGCACGCAGGAGGCTGAGGCACGAGGCCCAGCAGTTCAAGGCCAGCCTAGGTAACATAATAGTGAGTTCTACGCCAGCCTGCATTACAGTGAGACCCTGTCTCAAAAAAAGGAAGGAACATCCAGAGCGGCCCAAGGGGTAGTGGCTGAGTGATGGGTCCCTGTGTGCCCCAGTCAGGCTCTGTCCTTCGGCCACTGCAGTGAACCATGCCTTCACCACCACCACAACTGCCCACAGGAGATGCTGGGGTCGCCTGCTGCAGGTGTCTAAGGGGCAGCGACAAGCACGCCTGCCAGACGTGTGTGTTAGAGCAGAGGCCCAGGCCTGTTTTCATCAGCATCACCCAGACGGGCATGGCGGTGGTCATCACAGGAGGACCCACCTGCTTTCCATGCGGGATGCTGGGCTGCAGCCTAGGGTGTCCTCACCTCCGAGCTCTACTGTCCTGTGAGGCTCCCAGAGAATGCCGTTGGCACACTGCATCGCTCGGGTAATACTCCATTTCTTTCTTTTCTTTTCTTTTTTTTGCAGAACCAGGGATTGAACTCAGGCCCTTGCGCTTGCCAGGGAAGCACTTATTCTACCAAGCCATCTCCCGGCTCCCGTTTCTTTCTTTTTTTCCCCACACTGAGCTATATTCCTAGCCTCTTTTTAAAAGTTTTGAGTCAAGATCTCAGAGTTGCCCAGGCTGGGCTAGAACTTTTGATCCTCCTGCTTCAGCCTCCCAGAGGACTGAGATGATGAGTGTACACCCGACACTGGGTTGCAGTGGTTCTCTATGAATAGGAGGATGAGTCCCTCGGGATCTATAGCCAATTGTTTTTTGTTTTG